GGTGTGACCAGCCAGATGAGCGCCCAGCAGTGGTGAAGGATGTCCACTACCTCTACTTTTCCATCATTCTGTCTGTGGTCACCATGGTCACTGTGTCCACCGTGAGCTGGTTCACAGAACCACCCTCCAAGGAAATGGTACCTTTGGGTTTGACTGCCTTTTTGTGTCAACTCTTTGCTGCAACTGACTCAAACTGTTTAAACAAAAAGTATTGATTGTTTAAAAAGCTAAAAAATCCAGTGTTAAGGTTGAGGGACACCTCCATTCAGAAGCTCTGGTAGCACAGTGCCTAAGGCATTTGACTGGTAACCAGAAGATCGGTGGTTCAAACCCATCAGCCATTCTGTGGAAGAAAGATGGGGCAATCTACTTCTGTAAAGGTCTACCACCTCGGAAACCCAATGGGGGTTGCTCTGAGTCAGAATCAACTCAGTGGCAGTGGGTTGAGTTAGGACAGACACTCTGGGTGTTGCAGTTAACACGCTCAACTGCTAACTGAAAGGTTAGAGGTTTGAGTCCATACAGAGGTGGAAAAAAGTAATGATCAACTTCCAAAAAAATTAGTCCTTGAAAACTCTATGGAGGGCAGTTCTAGTCTTGACACACATAGTGTAGCCATGAGTCAGAATCCACTTCAAGCAACTGCTTTGATTCAATACTCAGAAAAGGTCATCAGAATCCATCTCCTGTTTCTGTTTCTATCCTCAGGCCCCACGTGGGACCAGCAGCTTCTAAGGCTACATCCTTGCTTATTCTCATTAAGCATAAGGATTTTTGTTCCAATATTTTCAGCAAAGTTCTTTATTCCCATTGGTCAAGTTGCCATGAGTCAACTCAATCCACAGTAGTGGATGAGCTGAATGGCTCACCTTTAGCTGGCACGATACCCCAGGGTTTAGGATAAGCTCAGAGGACTAGAATGAGGGAGGGTTAGGTATCAGAATAAGAACTAGGGCTATTGAAAAGAAGACAGAGGACTGGATGGGACAATGTCCATTGCTTCTAAGAGTACAGGGAGCTGAAGCTTGTTGGAGGGTGGAGTGAGATGGCAAATTGGAACAGACCTAGATGTGAAGCCTGGGCTCAGGGTTGGGCACAGGATAGGAGAAAGGCATGGCAGCCCCTCTGCTTCCCCATTCATCTTTGTCCCTTAGGTCAGTCGCCTGACCTGGTTTACTCGCCATGATGCCGTGGTCCAGAAAGAACAAGTGCCACCTTTGCCTCTTACCCTTCCTCAGAATGGGACACCGGATGGTAGCAGCACCAGCATCCAGCTTGAGATTGTTCAAGAAAACATGTCCAAAACCCACAGCTGTGAGTTACCTCTCTCCTCAGTTACTGTCAGAGGCTCAACACTCATTATGTGTTTAAAGGGAAATTTTTATATCCAATCAGCAGCCAGAAAATGAAGGCAGACTTGGGATTTGGCATCTGTTGACTCCCAGTGAACATCTGTTTCTTCCCCCACTCTCCAGGCACCCCAAGAAGGTTCTTTACTAACTTGCAACAGAAGCCTCTGATGGGCAGTAGTAGCAGCCATTTGTTGGGTACTTATGAAACCACAGTTCATTGAACCCTCCTGTGACTCCACAGGGGAGGTGGGAGCTATGAGCATTCTCTAAATTAGTGGTTTCAAACTGGCAGCTTGCAGATATATTTTGGTTTTGCCCACATACTATTTTAATAAAATATGAGTGGACCTCTAAAAATGGGAAGATTTCACATAAAATTCCAGATTTCCACCTTCACTTGAGAAATGGGACTATCTGACAACACTGATACCACATGTCTATGTGCCAAAAGTTGCCTGGAGCAGCAAAGCACCTGTCCCTTAGACCTGGGATGTGCCCTTCCATGAGCCAAGGTCCCCAAGGTCCCTAAAGTTCCTACTGTTGCCATGGCTCTGAGGCTGTAGGTTGTCATGGACTTCTCTGTGCAGTTTTTAAATTTTTGGTGATGGTAAGTACTCATGTCCACCTCAGTGGGAACACTGAAGGACAGACACAGAAAGCCATGTGTATAAAGGAAAAATAAAACATATTATATATATATATTACACACACATATGTATATGTGGAGCTCTGGTAGCACCTAAGGTATTTGACTGCTAACAAGAAGGTTGGTGGTTCAAACCCACCAGCCCTTCT